AAATTTCTTGTATGCTGAGATGTACGGCTTTCTACTGTTTCATCGTTTGTCTATGATTCCCCAACAGTCTTAGCTGCCAAATGTATATATTTCGATCTCTAACAAGATTGTTCTAGCTCATCAATCTTTCTTTTTAAAAAATGATTAGCTCTCCATACTTCTTTACATCAACTTTAGAGTTCACCTGCCAAATCCCAAATGCATGGCCCATCCTCCTCCTTTGGGAGTTAGAAACAACATTAAATTTATAGAAGGTAAGTAGACATTTTTACTCACATCTAATGTAAAATGTCTACCATTTTATTCAAGCCTTTTCCATCAGAAAAAAATTTTTCCTATCAGTGTCTGCTACATTCCTTGTTTGGCTTATTTTAACATAAATATAAATGTAAAATTTAATATAAATATATGAATTTATATAATATACATAATATATATTTATATACATATACATGCACGCATATGTATTTTATTTTCATGTGTTATTGGCAAGGATTGGCTCAAGTGTGACAGTAAGTAACCTAGTTTTTGTTACAGTTTTACTCTCTAAAACAATGTGTTTTTAGTATTTGACACATGGTTTTTATGGGACAAGGAAATTTCATTCTAGTTCTAATTTGCTGTCATTATTAAGAATGGCTGTTAAATTTTATTTAATATATTTTCAGTAAAAATTGAGAGGCTCATATAATTTTTTTTCAGTCATTTCATACTTTAAGTTTCTTTCCATGTTTGCTATTTTTACAGGAAGTAATTTCAATTATATTTTCAGTTCTAATGGCATAAAGTTGTATGCAACAATTTTGTAATTTTAAAATGATTTCTATTTTTATGGGTGCACCTTCCTTTCTGTGTATCTAAAGAAAACCAATGTCCCAGCTCAGCAGTCAGGCAGAGGCAGAGCGAAGCACGCGCCACAGGCTGAGACTGTGCGCTGCACACATGGAACTGACTTTACTCAGTCCACTGATGCAAATGCTCAGCTCATCTGGAAACACCTCACAGACACACCAGCAATAATGTTTAACCAGACAGCCTGAGCATCTCTTAGCCCAGTCAAGCTGATACATAAATTAACCATCACATACCTGGGTAATGTGAAATTCAATAACCTAGTTCAATACTCTCTCAGATTCCATTAAACATGCAGGGCATTCTAAAATTCTGGATTAACATTTCTGAGAGCATTCCTACTGCTCAGAGAATGAGGTTATTAAGGGGGAAAGGCAGAAAGAAAGCATCAAATTGTGAAGTCAGGTGGTAAATGACTAAGCAGTGCTCTTTATCATAAAGGACAGCCTTTGAGGTCTACTCATATAGGCATAAAAGCATACAGGGCATGCACCCAGATAGGCAACTATTACCTACTGCTAATACACTAAGTTCAATATAGACAGCTGCTACCTACTGCTAATACACCACCTTAGAGTACGTTCAGTCTTCATTTATTTAACATGAGATTTGATTTTACAGATTCCAAGTGTTTATGGTCAAATGGGATAAGTAAGCAAGAGTGAGCAAGATATGAAGGAATTGTAGAGAAGATTTAGGAGACTAGCAGAGAGCTGGGAATTCCTGGGTTTCAGAATTGAACAATTAGAAGTTAAGGCAATTGTAGGATGCCTACTCATGTAACAAATTATGAGTATAGCCTCACTATGATCTGAGAGTGTGTGTGTGTGTGTGTGTGTGTATACATCTTCTGTCCCTCCCCACCCCCACACATGAAACTTGAACGAGGTAAGATTATAGTTCCACAGATAACAGTCACTTGTATTATATTTAAGGTGGCATTTATGGATATTTGCAGACATGCTGCCATCTACCACCCATCAGTGACTCATAACATTCATGTAGTAGGCCCAGCACTTGGAAAATGAAATGGAATAAAAATCAGTGTGGTGCCTGCGGTAAAAGTAGATTTTGCTTTGAGAAGGTTTTGTTTCTGTTAAATATATACAAGTGGTGGGTCATTGCTGTAGGCTAAAAATAAAATCCTAAGGCCCCAGCAACAAGATGAGTCCCCTGTTGGCCAAAGGGGCCCTGGGAAAACCTTAGCAATGGAATTCCCCGCCACGATGAGAAGATGGAGGGGACCCCCCTCATTATGCCTGCTCCTTGCTGGAGCTTCAGCCCAAGTGACCAGCATTCGTGTTAAAAGAGGTGATAAGGCCTGACTACACAGACTGTGGACATAAGAAACCAACGTATAAACAAGGCTAAGTCCATGCCTGGCAAGGGACAGTCACGCCGCAGGCCATCAGTCTTGCTACACAGCATGCTCAACTTAGACGTTCCCTTCTGCTGACTCCAGTATTTAGAGCTCTACTCCTTTAACCAACTGCAAATCTCTGAATCCACCTATAATCTGTAAGCTCCCACTTCAATATATCACGCTTTTCAGACCAAACCAACGTATAACTCCCATGTACTGATTTCTCTTTGCCAGTAACTCCCGCCTCCCTAAAATGTATAAAAGCAAACTGTTATCCGACTGCCCAGGGTGCACCTTCCCAGGACTCCATGAGAGGGGGTTCCTGGCCTGCAGTCACTCATGTCAGCTCAGAATAAACTTCTTTAAAATACCTTGCAGAGTTTGGTTTTTCTGTTAACACTGTATAGAAGATATTTCTTATTGTGGCTGAGGAAAAGTTTGAAAGCCACTGTGGCTCTTGCCTATAATCCCAGCTAACTGGGAGGCTGAGGTGGGAGGTTCACTTGAGCCCAGGAATTTGAGACCAGCCTGGGCAATATAATGAAACCCTGTCTCTAAATTAAAGTTAAAAATAATGTGTACAGTTTGCTCTCAACATATACCTCCCCTACCACCCCTGTAAAAAATAAAACATCAGTTTTGCTTATCAGTTTCTTCATAGATATTCAGCTTAAGTGATTTGCTATTGAAATCTGAGATTATCTACAAAAGCCCCAAAGGAAAAATTACATTTGTAATATATAAGCTAGAATATCATTCATACTTCTGTTCTTCTTGATCTCTTGAATGGCATTGTTTAAACATACAATAGAGGTTTAGAGAAGACCAAAGAAATTGGAAGAAAGCTTAAACTAGGCTTTGAACAGCTGGCACATTTGAAGCAAGGCAGGGGGAACCAGTAGGAATGGGCAGGACGTGCAGGCTGAGTGTGAGAATGCTCAGAGCAGACGCAGGGGTCAGAGGAGGGTGTGCAGAGTGAAGAGGGCTCAGGATGAGGGGACAGCAGACAAGATGAACCAGGGATTAAAACAGGACTTGTGGGGAGGTGGGATGGCCCCAGAGCTGCGGACCGGATGTCGGGTGGGACAGAGCTACGGATCTGCCTGGTCTGCAGAACAGACTGAATTAGAAACGGGAGCCCGCTTGATCAGGTCTCCCTGCCCTGATTGCTCCTGGTCACTTGCTTTTTCTTATTTTTCTTTTCCTTTTTCCATGTAGCTGAAGGCTGTGGTGTCTGAACACCTGAGCACTGAGCCTGAAACGTGCCCTTCACTGGCTACTTTACAGATAACACAGGCACATGGTAACAGTCACTTTGCTTGTTTCCAGCAACCTGGGCCAGTTCTCAGTGGGCTGAGACTACCTACACTCTCAGTGGGCCTCTAGCTTCAAAAGTTATTATAAGATGATGTATGCACATGAAAAGTATTTATATGCATAAGGTAAAATGACTATCAAATCTGTAATCAAAATTTTGTGAGAGGTAACAACAAACTTCTGATCAAAGAAACAACATACTATAACATTAGAAATTACTAAGAGTCACTCGGAGAATAAGACTGACTGTCAGCGACTGAAGATAAAAAACTGGGACGAATGTAAAGGCAGGATGAAGCAATTGTGCACTGTGGTCCTCTACCAAACTGAGAATCGACGCCCGAGATGAGCGAACTCTGAAGACGCGGCTCTCCGGAAGAACAAACTGGCCAAACACGCAGTAACTCACCTCCATGCTCTAGGAAATGAGTTAACACTGATAAGAAATATATGGGCCGGGCGCAGTGGCTCACGCCTGTAATCCCAGCACTTTGGGAGGCCGAGGCGAGTGGATCACGAGGTCAAGAGATCGAGACCATCCTGGTCAACATGGTGAAACCCCGTCTCTACTAAAAATACAAAACATTAGCTGGGCATGGTGGCGCGTGCCTGTAATCCCAGCTACTCAGGAGGCTGAGGCAGGAGAATTGCCTGAACCGAGGCAGCGGAAGTTGCGGTGAGCCGAGATCGCGCCATTGCACTCCAGCCTGGGTAACAAGAGTGAAACTCCGTCTCAAAAAAAAAAAAAGAAATACAAAATTTCCAGCACTCACTGTGTGCTAGGCTGTTATAAATGCCATGGCTCTTCTCAGGCCAACACTGCCAGGAAGAAGTGATGGCTCTCCGATGGCAGCCTTGGAGCCGCCGCTGTTCGCCTGAAGCTGCAGGCTGATGGATAGAACTGTCCATTTTGTATGGGGACAAGGAGTGGGAACTGTTAAAGAAGCCCCACAAAAATAAAAATAGAACATAAATAGTGGTGAAGAGGAAGGGCAGACATGGAGTTAGCACTAAAGCTCATTTTGATGACCCCACAGGTACTCAACACAGTGGTAGCATGTGGGGGCTTTATTTTTATAGGCGGCTTCCATTTTCATTACTGTGAGATGTACAGCAGATGTCTTCATTTATGTACGTCCCAGGAGACTGGAAAAATTAAGCTGGTTTCAGTCTTGTGTCCGAAGAGATAAGTTTATTTAAACAATTGGCACAAAATGGCCAAATGGAAGTTGCTTCGATTTACCCTAATTTAATGATTTTTCTTTATGAAAAGAAAATCTAAAAGTATTTTACTGTCTAGGTTGGAAAGCAGATTTAAGTTAACAGGATTTAAGCAGCATCTCAACCATTTTTAAAACGGCCTCAAAGTGAAGTGAGTCTCCAAGTTTTACCGCCTCTGTTAGCACTCCTGACCCTAAGTGAATCACCCGCAGAGACCGCATCTGGAGAAGTCATGATCTCTACCTACCTTTTTTTCAAAGAATTTTTTTCTTAACTTGGCATCTGTGGGAGGTACTGTTTTCCTCAGGTTTTGGTACCACTTTCTAACAACGTATCCTCTCCAACAGGCTTGGATTCTAAAACACAGATATTTGAAAATGACATTTATGATGACCCTATGTCTACCAACACTTCATAGTTGTTATAAGCCTGTGCCGTACAAGGCCCCAGGGAAATTATGGCGGCCGAGATAAAATGCCAGTACTAAAAACAATTACTCGTCATAGCTTGATCTCTGTGTCTGCTTAGTGCCACGTGGGCCTGGCATCCTCACCTGGTGGCACACTTTATCCTGAACAGGCGGGCCCCGTCATGTATCACTCGGGTTTCATACTGGTTCTTTCTACAGAGAGGACAGGTTTTCTTATTTGTGAACTTTTCAAAAGCCTGAAGACATGCCTGAGGAAAAACATTTCACTCAAAATTTTATAAGTAATTACTTATAAACAATATTTTTACTTCCAACGTTAGTGTTCTAATTATAGTGTTCTTTTCTCTCTTAACTATGAGACTTACTCAAATTTACGTTATAAAGTGAGGAAATTTCATCAGAGATTACTACGTTCCTCATGAAACCTGTTCCAAAAATGATTTTTTTACAAGAATATACATGCAGAGACATCAAAAACTTCTAAAATGAACTAGCACAAAGGTGACTCGCGCATGCGTATGAGACCACATGCAGATCGATCATGTGAATTCAGCTGTCACTTTGATGTGCATCACTGACAACAATCTGTTAAGTAAACATTTGTGGTTCTTTTGTCACAAAACTCATGATTTTCAAAACAGGATGAGCTGTACTGTAGCCTACAGTCATGTTTCTTTAACCATAAATGGCGGTGATGAATAAAGTAAATGGCTCTTCCTAGGAGCCTTTAACATGAGTCTGGCTTCTCTGCACTGCCAGAGCGTCATGTGGTGCACGAGCAGGCGTGAGGGGCTGACTTACTCTGTGGAACACATGGGAACATGAAAGCAGCACCTGTTCATGAGGAAACAAAAACGTTTGAAGTTTAACAAAAGAGAAGCAGCATGAATGCAACAGTTAAAGAAAAATTCTGAATGCTTCAAAGGTAAGCTGTATTATTTCTTTAAAAATTAAAAAAGCAAATAATTTTGACATTATTGTTTAGCACCAAAAAAGTATGTACTCTAAATAAAATTAACAATCCGAAATATCAAATAAACACATGAAGTTTGATATTAAACTATTAAAATGAGTGTATACTTAAGAGCAAAGCAATGACAAAATGAATGATTTCCCCAGGTGCTTTGAGTGACTGCAAACTAGAGGGGTAAGGAGCGGGGCCGGTCCTGTGGGGCCAGGGAGAAGACCAGGGAAACGCTAAGTAAATACAATTTAGGTCTTTGTTCAGCTCAGTTATGCCCCCCAATTTTTTTTTAAACTACAGCTCTACTTAGACATAATTCTGACAGTCCTAAATTTAAATAGCATCAAATCATGGAGACATAGGAGTCATTTTTTCTTTTTCAAATACAGAGAAAGTATGCTCTCAAGAAAACGTCACCTTTCTCTGACCCAGATTCCCCAACAGTGACATTCTGGGCTGTGACAAAAGACCGAAGCTTAGACCAACTGAAGAAGGCAGTGCGTACTTAGTGGGAGGGATGGAGCCATCAGCCAGGCTCTGCTTCCCCTGGGGAGGGACCACTTTCAGCAATGGGAAGGAAAGGCGGGGAACCTTGTGAGACTAAGCAAAGCAGTGGGGGCAGGCAAAGGGTTTTCCTTTTTTGTCGAGAATCTGACTTGGGTGACAGTCTGTGACACTCCTGGGTGAGGTTTCAATCTCAGATGGTCCAGGATGCCTGCTGTGGGGACAACTTAATAGTTTTTAAAGTGAATCCCACCTGCCTTCACTAAATTTATGCTTTGTTTCTTAAATGGAAGAAACAGAAATAAGTAGAACTCAGAAAGTTCTAAAACCTTTTCTTGAAACATTGCCAAGAGTAAGTCTGAACTGAATAAACTCAGTAATATGGGTCCTTTTTTATTACCACCGTTTAATACCAATCTTTTCTGTACTTAATTCATTCTTTATAGAATACTTTTCAGTGTCTTATCAACATATGTTCTATCTATATTAACATTATCCTTCAGTATATTGTTATATTTTTAAAATGTCCACAAAGATTTGTTACTGGCAGACATTCTCTGATGTAACAAAAATCAATGACTAAGTGAATTGTTTTTATTTCCTCATCTGCTAAATAGGCAGAATGCTTACTATATGAAATTAATTGAAGGTCCTCTGAAATCATTAAATATTGGGAAAATGCCAACTATTGTTTATAACTAAGGAAAAATCTGAACGCAGAAATGATCATTAGAAATGCAAAATATACAGGATAGATCTTATATCAAAACCAAATAAAAATAATAGAATTTTTAGTGGTAAATTTCTAAAAAACAGAAAGAAGTGTTGGGCAGGGTCACCCTGATCCCTGTAAGATGCGAACTTTCAGTTTTCATTCTTCATGCAGACACTCCAGGCTCAGTATTTTAGTGTAAGAAAGAGGTTGCTTAGCCAGAAAGACGCCCTCTGGCCTTCTTCACTGTTTTGCTAAAGTACTAAATTATCCTAGGCAATCTGTGGATTCAGGGCTAAAATCTGTCCAAAATACCCAACTTTTATGTATGTAATATTAGGTCCTGACAGAGAACTAGAATATAGTCAGTATATCTAAAGTAACTTATGAATTCTAATTAGTAAATACAAGTGTACTGTTGTGAGCTTTCTCGCTGATGAAATTTACGCAAACTCAAGGAAGTTTCAGAGTTCACTTGCCTGGGTAGTAATAAGACTGGGTTCCTAGGCTACGAACTCCAAGGCTAATTTTAACTGTATTTGCTGTGTTTTCTCAGCAAATCTCTGAGGGCCTGCTATGCAGGAAGCATAATGCCACACCCCGTGGGAAATTGGTACAGGGCAACCATGAATGTGCACGTGCACACACACACCCCCCCACACACACTGCTGTTAAATCTAAGTGTCCGCAACTTCAGGAGACAACGGTTTAGTTAGGCAGACAGAATATGTACAGGAAAAACCCTATATGCATTCTCTCTATATACATGTGTATTATCTGTTAACTCAGGGTAGCATCATCCATCTTAATATGGTAAAGTTTCATGAAGTCATTAAAAGATTTTACTTAAAGATTCTCTCACAAATTCTTTGAAGACATTCAAGCAGTTTTTTTTGTTGTTCTTTTCTGACTCAAATCACAAACAACTTAAGAATTCCTCTGCTTTCTTCCAGCGCTGGGACACAGCTGCTCCTGGGGAGCCCCCCAGTTATCTGCCCAGCTGCTGGGGCCCGCTGAAGGGAAACATTCCTTTTGTACGAATGTTAGTACTTGAGAATACCAGTCAGTAAACAAACAGAACTATTTAATGAGGGTGTTTAGCTCTTCTTCACACACTTTAATTAATGTAAAAAGAAATGGAAGTGTGTGAGGCTCACACCGGAGGGTGACACACAAAAAGGAAGCCTGGAATCTCAGGCTCCAGCTCCGGGCCTGGTTCCTAGGAAACAGCCCACGAGCTCCCTAGCTTCCCCTCGCACGCTGAACACCTGGGGACGAAGCTCGAAATCTTCTTTACAGATGGGGCACGGCTGCACGGAGTCCCCTTGCAGGAGGGACCGCTGTTTCACCTTCTCCCACTCATCTGATGACAGCGGAGGTGGTGGAGGCCCAATGAGGCCCAGCTTCTGTGCTAAAGTAAGACAACACAGGACAGGGGTGAGAGTGTCTTTTAGAATATGGCACCCTCCTATAATTGTAATGGCAAACAAATATTAAAGAAATACATACAGATCACATACTTTATTTCACAATAGAAGTTGTGCTCCGGGACGCCCCAGGGATGCTCGAGTCCCTGATATAGGCTGGCGTGGCATTTGCATACAACCCATGCATATCCTGTATACTGTCAGTCACCCCAGTTACTCATCATTCCTAATGCAAGTGCTATGTAAACAGCTGTCATACTATATTGTTTTAAATTTGCGTTATTTTTCTATTGTTGTAATATTATCTTTTATTAATTTATTAAAATTTTGATCTGTGGCTGGTTTAATCTGTGGATGCAAAACCCACAGATAGAAATGGTGGCCTGAATATAGGATGCCATTTTCCTATGAGGGCAGAAAAGTCAGTGGTAGTAATACCTTACGTTTTCAATACGTTTATTTTTTATTTACACAGAATTTCCCATATCTTAATTTCATTCTCACGATAATTCAATAAGGCAAGCAGGAGTGATATCCAATTTTATGAAAGAAAAACTGAGGAATACTCATGTTTACACATATTGGCCCAAGGTTCTCCCAGTTCTCACCTGCCTCAGCCCGCAGCCTTAGGCACTGTCTCCTCCAGCTCACCTTCCTCTGCCACCAGCGGCCTTTACATCAATCCTGCACCTCTCCTGCTAAAAACTTCCTATGACGGATCATTACTGTCAGAATAAAGTTCTTATTTCAATAACACGTGGGTACCCACCACATGCTGACTCGGCATGGAGCAGGTAGTGTGGTGGGAAACACTCACTTTGAAAAAGCAACTGCAACATCCTCAGGCAAATGCTGGAAGTGAAGTGTCACCTTCCACCACCTCCCCACACCCCCAAGGAGGGTTAATGCATAAAAAAGCATCGACCTACAAGGATGTCTTCAGAAACAGAAGACAAAATGTTACATCTAGGAAACAGGACAGGAAGCTGTAAAGGGACACTCTGAGTACAGAAGAGCTCCTGGGCTTTTAGAGTAGAAATGTAACGTCAACTGAAAGGCTGGAAGAGAAAGCTAAGATACAGTCATGAGTTAACCACAGGCGATTGATGTTAAGAAATGTGCCATTAGGCGATTTCGTCATCTTGCTAACACTGCAGCGTAGGTACACACACAGCTGGTACAGCCCACCACACACCTAAGCTGCATGGTACAGCTGACTGCTCTAGGCTACACACCTGCACAGCATGTCACTGTATTGAATACTGCAGGCAACTAATACAATGGTAAGAATTTGTGCATCCAAACACAGAAAAGGTACAGTGAAAAATATGTATAAAAGATTAAAAATGGTGTACCCGTGTAGGGCACCTACCATGAATGGAGCTTGCAGCCTGAAAGTTGCTCTGGGTGAGTCAGTGAGTGGCTGCTGAGTGGGTGTGAAGGCCTAGGACATGACTGTACGGCACTGTAGACTTTACAGTCTACACTTAGGCTACACTACATTTGTAAACATGTATTTTCTTCAACAATAAAGTTAGCTTACTATAACTTTACTTTCTAAACTTCTAAATTTTTTAACTTTTGGACTCCTTTGCAATACCATTTAGCTTAAAACACTATATTGTCCAGGCTAGCATGTGGTGACCTGACCATGGCTCACCGTAGCCTGTAGCTCCTGGGCTCACGCGATCCTCCCACCTCGGCATCCCAAGTAGCTGGGACAAAAGGCACATGCCGCCATGTTCAGCTGACTTCTTAGTTCATACAGAATATTTTCTTTCTTTATATCCTTATTCTATAAGCTTTTTCTATTTCTCAAATTTTTTTTTTTTAGACCTAACTATTTTGTTAAAAACTAAGATACAAACATGCATATTAGCCTAGGCCAACATAGGGCCAGGTCATCAACATGTCACTAAGCAGCAGGAATTTTTCAACTCCATTATAATTTTATGGGATCACCATGGTTTGTCATTGACTGAAACTTTGCTATGTGGCATATGACTATAATCTCGCAGAAAAACATGTAACAGGAGACAGAAAATAAGAAAATCAAGAGACCGGTCTAGGTGGTGGTGTGACATCTGAAAAACTGGCATTCCAGAAAGAAAACATGGAAAATGGAGAGTAAAAATATTTTAAAGAAAATAGTCCAAAACGTCTCCCAGAAGCAAAGGATATGAGCTGGTTTGAGAGGGCCCAGTACCCAGAACAGAGTCCCATCGCTGTGACAATCTCTGAGACAGAAAGCAGACTCAAAAACAAAACAACAGGCCTCAAAAAAGGATCAGGAATCAGAACTGTGACAGATTCACCCACAGCAATACAGACAGAAGACAATTCCTTCAACATTCAGAGGAAGGAAAGATATCCACATCACGATTCCTGATTAGCTATCAATCGAATGTGAGAAAAGAACAGAGATGTGGCCGGGTGTGGTGGCTCACACCTGTAATCACAGCACTTTGGGAGACTGAGGCGGGCGGACACGAGGTCAAAAGATTGAGACCATCCTGGCCAACACAGTGAAATCCCGTCTCTACTAAAAATACAAAAAATAGCCAGGCGTGGTGGCAGGTGCCTGTAGTCCCAGCTACTCAGGAGGCTGAGGCAGAAGAATCACTTGAACTCAGGAGGCTGAGGCAGAAGAATCACTTGAACTCAGGAGGTGGAGGTTGCAATAAGCTGACATTGGGCCACTGCACTCCAGCCTGGCAACAGAGAAAGACTTGTCTCAAAAAAAGAACAAAGATTACTGTTATGCACATGAGCTTCTATGTGGGCCTCCTCCGCACTCCCCCAGGGAGTTACTGACCAGGAGCATCAACACCACGGGGGAATAAACTGAGGAGGCTGCCATGAGGTCCAAGTGGAGAGCCCAGGGTCCCAGGGTGCTGCTGAAGAGGGAGTCTGGGGAGGGTATGGCGGCAGGGGGAGGGAATCATGGAGGATTCCAGAAGCAATGTCCTCATCGATAAAGTACCCTGGTATATTTTAATGTATTGAGAGAATGTATTTCTGGAGGAGATTTTAGGGATGAATCAGGGATGAGTGATGATAGAGGAAACTAAATGTGAAAAAAGAAGACATCACTTCAGGGAAAGTAGAAAAATGTCTGAGAAGGAAATTGTAATATAGAACACCACACTGCTTAGCTGTCAGTGAAGTCAGAATTGTAACAGAGTAAACACTGAATGTTATCAGTCTAATCACACGTTATGAAAATAATATGCTAAATCTCAATCTTCCATAGTAAGAAGAGATAATGTCCAGAACTGAAAATTAACAAAACAGCAGCACAGACATGTTGTTTAGAAATATGAAAAATAGGACCGGGATATCTGTGTATGTCCTACGCAAACCTATTCAGATGTTTATGGCCAAGCTTAATTCACTGAAGCTCAGCAATTTTGGTGACAGACAAGCGAGTTCAGACAATGAGTTTCTGACCAGCATCAAGTTCATCAAAATGTGCGCCTGGGAGAAACCTTGTACCAGCACTCCCCAAGATGTGAGGAGGAGGGAACAAAAATTACTGGAAAAAGCTGGATTTGTCCAAAGCAGAATCTTCACCGTGGCCCCTCATGTCCACCACAGCCATCGTGCTGACATTCTCCTGCCACATCCTCCTGAGACCCAAGATCACCGTGCCCACGGCATTTAGTGTGACTGCCATGTTTAATGTAATGAAGTTTGACACTGAAATTTTGCCCTCCTCAGTAAAAGCAATGGCTAAAGCCAATGTCTCTCTAAGAAGAATGCAGAAAATTCTCACAGATAAAAGCCCTCCATCTTACATCACCCAACCAGAAGACCCAAATACTGTCTGGCTTTTAGCAAATGCCACCTTGACATGGGAGCATAAAGCCAGCAGGAAAAGTGACACAAAGAAAGTGCAGAACCTGAAGAGGCATTTATTCAAGAAACAGAGGTTGGAGGCAGTGAGTGGAGTCCGCCAGCCAAGGGAGCTGCTGGCCCAGAGGAGCAAAGTGGCATCCCCAAATCAGTTCTGCACAACATAAGCTTTGTGGTGACAAAGGGGAAGATCTTGGGAATATGTGGGAATGTGGGAAGTGGGAAGAGCTGCCTCCTTGCAGCTATACTAGGAGAGATGCAGCGGCAAAAAGGGGTGGTGGTGGTCAATGGAACTTTGGCTTACATTTCACAGAGCATGTGGATCTTTCATGGAAATGTGAGAAAAACATACTCTTTGGAGAAAAGTATGATCACAAAAGGTAACAGCACACAGTCCATGTCTGTGGCCTCTAGAAAGACCTGAGCAGGCTCCCTTGGAGATCTGACTGAGATTGGGGAGTGGGGTGTCAGCCTCTCCAGGGTGTAGAGGCAGAGGATTAGCCTGGCTGGTGCTGTCTACTCCCACTGTCAGTTCTACCTGCTGGATGATGCCCTGTCGGCCATGGACGCCCACTTGGGGAAGCATGTCTTTGAGGAGCGCATTAAGACAGCACTCGGGGAAGACAATGGTCCTGGTGACCCGCCAGCTGCATTTCTTAGAGTCTTGTGATGAAGTTATTTTATTAGAAGATGGAGAGATTTGTGAAAATGGAAGCCACAAGGAGTTAATGGAGGAGAGAGGGTGTTATGCAAAACCGATTCACAACCTGCAAGGACTGCAGTTCAAGGATCCCGAACACCTTTATAATGCAGCAATGGTGGAAGCCTTCAGGGAGAACCCTGCTGAAAGATGGGAAGATGCTGGTACAATTGTTCCTGTGCACCAGCTCATCCAGACTGAATCCCCCTGGGAAGGAACTGTGACCTGGAAAACATGTCACATGTATGTAAGGCTTCTGGAGGGCACCCCCCTTCTCTTGTCATGTGTTCCTCTTCCTCCTGATAGGCAGCTCTGCATTCAGTAACTTGTGGCTGGGTCTCTGGTTGGACAAGGGCTCACGGATAACCTGTGGGCCCCAAGGCAACAGGACCATGTGTGAGGTTGGCACAGTGCTGGCAGACATCAGGC